TGGGATTGTCAGAGTCTCTTACACTGGATGGGCGATCCGTGGGATTGTCAGAGTCTGTTGCGTTGGATGGGCAATCCGTGGGATTGTCAGAGTCTGTTATGGGTAGTGGCATTGGCAGTAGGAACGGCAAAGAGGGAACAGCTGTGGGATACTTAATGAGAACAATTCAGCAAGAATTAGAAATGGTTGGATGTGTGGACAGAGGAGAGAGAAATGGCAAAGTTGATGAAGTCAGGCTTCCTTGATAGTCTAGGCTAGGGAAAGATGACACTTTATTTAGCAAGGGGGGTTGGGGTGATCAGTAGTGTACAGTGAGAGAGGGATGATGGCCTGAACTTGGTTGCTGGTCATGAAAATGGAAAGGAGGGAAACACCAGAGATTTTAGTTTGAATGGTGGCTTTTATAGGGCTTCTGGAATAGTTCCAAAATTCACTTTGGTGTTCCATCGGTTGGACAGAGCCTTTTTTTTTCAGCAAGCTGCCAGGATTATGCATATATTTATGACAGAAACTACGTATTTTAACTGCATAGTTTTCCATTTGACTATAAACAATAAACTTAGTTTCTTTTCTCTCTTTTCTACTAGGACTTAGAAGAACAAAGTCGGTTGATAGCTGCTTCCAGTAGACCAAACCAAGCTGGTAATGAGGGGCAGTTTGTTGTCCTTAGCAGTAGCCAGTCAGAAGAGAGTGATTTGGGAGAAGAAGGAAAGAAGAGAGAGTCAGAAGCATAAACTTATCCTTGCTCTTTGGTTGATATTCCCTGCCCCCAACCCTGGAATTTAATGACAATTTCTGGGGTGAAATGGCACAAGGTAACAACTATGTTGAAATATCAAGCAGAAGACTAAGCTTTATATTTGCTTGTTTGTTTTAGCTTCATCTTTTAAAATAAGATTGAACTTGTGATTTAGGTTTGTATTCATTTTTTTTCGTTAAAAGTAACATACTATGCAGTAACATCAAATTCCACATGCCTAAAAGAAACTTGCTCATCTCCCTGAAGTAGACTGCTGAGGAATTAGACTTGCTCAAGACTTTTTCCCTTCAAATTTTGAACTCTTTATCGTGTTTTGTAACTGGCTCTGACCGTAAGAAATCAATTATTCTTCGGCTTCAGATATTCGTGGGTATGCTCCCTCTGTTTCATTAATAACATTTTGCTGGCAGTGAGGAAGCTTTGGATTGAATAGGTTCAAAACGCTTTATGTAGAGAATTCTAAAAGTTTGCA